ACATTACTATTTGTAACCTTCAAAATTGGGGACCAGGAAAGATAACATGATGAAGCAGACTGAGCAAGAGACTAGGACCTCCTGAATCTGAAATCAAGATTTAATGCTTAACACATCATCAGGGATCCTGGTTTTCCCTGATAAATAAAATTGCAAATTCTCTGATATAAAAATTTCAAATTCTCTGATAAAACCCCCAAAATCTGCTATTAAAATTAAATGCCCCCCACAGCCCTGATGGCACCTGTCACTCCCCCCTGCCCCCACAAGTCCCCAGCCATGAGCAGCCTCAGGCTGACTGTATGCTGCTTCCCTCCCCCATGACCCAGCGTGGCTGAAGACAGAGGATCCACGTGGGGATCTAGCCACTGCTCACCCAATACTACACTGGTGATGCACCTCCTGCACACAGGGCTGCATTGAGGGAAGGGGCACAGAGCTGCACCCCTCAAAGCAATGGCAGATTCAGGAGGCGCATTGCCAGGGCGGTGGTGGGGGAGGTGAGGAGATCCCCGTGCGACCCTGCTGTTCCCAGCTGCACTGGGTCACGCCCACAGGGCTGCAGAGGCCCCACAGGAGGGAAGCAGGGAAGGAGCTCAAGCCTGCAGCCTGTCCCATGCACAGATCTGGGAGCACGGGTCCCCCCTGCCCCCTGAGAGCGAAAGCTAGTTGGGAGTGCCCAACTGGCTGCACATGGACTGTGAGCAATGCTATCGACCTGCGACCAGGAGGCCACTCCACATCTTCCCCAACATCTCCCCATTCCCTGAGCCCCTAGCCAGCTCCCCGCAGGAGTGCCTGCCCAGTCAGCAGCATATAGGACCAGAGCAGTACTATTGGCCCTTCAGGAAAGCCGCACATGGAGGCACCAAACCTGGTCAGAACAAAAATGCTGCTTACAGTTTCTATGTGCTGCCAGCCATGTCTTTCACCAACGCCTCCCCGTCTTTCACCAACACCTCCCTGCTCCCTCAGCCCCCAGCTACCTCCCTGCATCCAGCTTCCCCCGAAGACAGCTCAGGCTCCAGCCCTGCCCTGCAATACCCCACCCCTCTGCAAGCCCCACTTACCTAACTTTACAGGCTCCAGGATAAAAGTGAGCCTGAGGTAAGCCTCGGAACTGACTAAAAACCTCAGGCCTTGCCCTTCCCGCTGCGCAACCTCTCCCCCCCCCTCCCCTGACACAGGGATGGGGGTTTCCTGCCCTTTTTGCAATCAGCTCTTGCAGCCTGGAACCATGCCAGCCTGTGGAGCTCTTTGCAAAAGTGGGAAAACCGCTGGTTTCTCTGCTCAATGGGAAAATTCACCTTTTCTCTTATAAAAATGGGAAACCCATGGTTTTTCCCATTTTTCCATTGGACATGGAAAACCCAGATCCCCTGCTCATCATAAGGTCTTAGGCAAGTGACTTAAACTTAGCAGGCACTTGTACACCATCACAAAGGGGTACCAGGAACACTGCCATAAAGTGTACCCTTGATATGCCACAGGCATCAAATCTTGGGAATGAAGCCCTTAAACTCCACTGCTTATTGGCATGTGCTTGGTGTGATTAATTTGCTACATCCCCTTGTTTCCAGATTTTGAAAAGCATGGCCCAGGAGTGAATGGGTGGGCCAACACAGAAGCAACATAGACATGTCCAGTGAGTTCTTGCTACATAAAATAAAAAGCAATAATATTTATCTCCTCAGCATATTTGACAGACTAGTTTATATTTGCAGAGTGCTGCAGGAATGGAAAACATTACCAGAATCTCACTCCAAACCAGAAACCTCAAATGCTTGGCTTCAATTTGTGTTGCAAGTTAGAGTTCAGGCAACTAAACCCCACCCTCTCTTCTCACTAAAGAAAAGGTTCAAAATGGGTAAAGTCTCAGCCCTGAGGATGAAGACTGTTCCAATCTACAAGAGATGGGGCTCATTTCATAACATTTTAAAAAATCAACCTGAACCAGTTGATTCATTTAGTTCATGTCTACTAAATAAATACAAATAAAAAAAATAAAACAAATGTTTACTTCTATTATTCCTGACACCTTGTACAGCAGTATCCACCAGTATAAATTGCTGGGACTTCATATTCAGTAGGCCTGTGCGACGTGGCTAGTATTTGCTTTGGATTTGGCCAATTTGGGGGACAGTGATTCAATTCGGTGATTTGAATCACTGTCTTGAATAGATTCGTCGAATTTGATTTAGAGATTTGGCCACTGCCGAATTGGCTGAATCTCCAAATCAAACAGGCCCCATCCCCCACAGGGTCTTCCAGCCCCCCCATGGCTGCTCCACCTGCCCCAGCTCCCGGGTCTTAAAAAAAAAAAAAATCCCTCCACTCACCAGCTCCTGCCAGGCATGGGGGGTGATCACTGCTGCCCCCCACTGCCCTGCACTGCATGGGGGGCTCTGCCACAAGCCCCTGATGGGGCCAGGCAAGGCAGCCATTGATGGGGCTGGGAGAGTGGGCGGGGATTGGGTGGCTCTCAGGGGCTGGGGGAGCAGGCAGGGGATGGAGCCTGGCAGGGGTCCCCCCATGGTCCCCTTCCCTACTTACCAGCATGGAGTCCTGGGTCCAGCTCCTTGTGGCAGCAAGCAGGAACTGCCCAAATCTCTGAATCTCTCCGAATCTTTTCCAATCAATTCAAACCTTTTTACTGGTCTCCCAATTCAATTCAGATTCAAAGATTTTGCCGCTGAAACAGGCTGAATCTCCTCCAAATTGAATTGGCACCTGAAGCCTCACACAGCGCTAACATTCACTGTTACTAAGTATAAATGGCTACCAGGTCTTCGAGATTGGGGCCCTAAATTTTATGTTGTAGTCTAACGTAAGTTATCCCTCTGTTTTGGCTAGTTACCACAGATGTACCAGTTACCAAAGTTTTGCACTCAGTGCAGGTATAGACAGTGATGAACTTACCCCTTAACATTCTCACTGTCTGTGGAGACAGTTCGGCTTCTTGATGCTTAACAGGACTGAAATGATCCCTTAGGCCTGCAAGGCCTAGAGCAGCCTTGACATAAGTAGGCTAAAAGTGCATTCATGGAGTTATGCTATTGTATAACCTGCTCCCTACAGAAAAAAAGGGTCTGATGCAGCTTGTTTTTCTGCAAGAGTCTAATAATAAAAATGCTTGTTATGGATAAAAGGGTTTGTTATGGCACATTCCATCCGTATCTGAAGCAAATGGCTCCTAGTATCAAGACAAAGAGAAAAACAATGATAAAGTGAAGACATACCCCAAGTTGTTGATGAAAAACAGAAAATTAGCCTAACTGGTAGCTACATGACTAAAGGACTATAAATATTACCCACCTTTTCCCTACCCCTCTCTCTCCCCCACTTTTCCTTCCCATACCCTCTTCCCCTTCTTTTCCCCTCACCCCAACAATGCCTGAAAACTGAAGACTTCTCTGCTCCCTTCAAGGAAACTTGTCCTCTCTGGAAGCCTGGCCAGCTCCTGAGTCATATATTATTAGGACTGGTAATATACAATTACTTACTTGCTAAGACTGTATCTTGCTAAGATTACTGAAACTGCTAAGATTATATCTATATGCTTGTTTTAAGTTAATACATTATAATGCTCAATAAAACTGATATATTAAAGAGTTAACTGGGTTGGGCAAAATGAATAGGTCCCTGGTTGGGGTGGGGGAAATGAAGAGGTCCCCAGCTCAGGGGAATAAATAGATTCTCATTTGGAGAAAACTGAAGCACACTAAGGCAATAATCAGTCCTGCTGCTTGCTCTCTCTCTGTCTGGCAGAACCAGATACCACCTGGTTCTTAGGGCAACATCTCAAGCTAAAACAGATTGACCCCTTAGAGACACTTCCTGCAAAGCATGCGTTTCAGTCCTTTAATTATTCTTATGGTTCCTGGCTGAAGCCTCTTTCATTTTTCAACATTTTTCTGGTGACTTCAATCCTTCAGAGGGGTGGGCACAAGAACTGGACATAACATTCCACAAGTCCTCACTCCTGGAACACAGATCTCAAGATGATATTAACTCAATTCCAAACACAAGAGTTAATATAACCTCACAACTCCTTCTCAGGATTCCCCTCTATGTAAGTGTCCATACAGAATTGACCACAATATTACACTATGAGCTTACATTTACATTAAGACTTCCTCTTCCCAAGTCTTTTTCAACTGCTGTTCCCCATGCACAATTCCTCCCTGCTTTTCCTTCATTGCTAGACATACAACTTACATTAGGCTTCATTAAAATGGACAGTCTGCTTGGGTTCCACTTACTCAAGTAAGCCAAACTGTTCTGCATTGGTATCCATTCTTTATTCCTCACTCACACAATCTTTGTCATTTTCAGACTTTCACTGTTGATGTTATAGAGTTCTTTTATACCACCAGAGAAAGGGGGGGAGAGAGACAGAGATCCCTTCTTTATTCTTCACTTGCACAATCTTTGTCATTTTCAGGCTTTTAGTGTTGATGTTATATATTTCTTCTATACCACCAGAGAGAGAAAGAGATGGAGAAAAAGAGGGGTCAAGAGAATGGTACAGGACCCTGATGGAAAAATGCATTCAAGGATGACTCATGCTTAACGAGTTGTTAGTTAGCTAAGTTTTTATTCTGTTCACCAGCATCTATTCTCCATAAACCCTTGCTGACTAGCAGTAATTATATTACCATATTTTAATTCTTTGTTGAGGCCTATTGCAGCAACTTCACCATTTTGCAAGGAATTGTTATCAGGATGACAAACGTATAGTTATAGTAACAGGATTGCCCCTTTTACACTTGCTAATTACTGATAAAATATTAGTTTTCTTTCAGGTTCTCTGTAACTTCCTTGGTATTCCAAGAGCTAACAGCTTCAAGAGCTCCCTAGCCAGGTCTTCTAAAGCTCTCAAATGCAGAATCTTGGGGCTTAGTGATTTACAAGCATCTACCAAGCTCTGCCTACCATCCTCTTAAGTTATCATTGGAGTGGCAGATGTTCCATAATCCTGTGTTAAGACTACATCATTTGAGTTTTTCCAAAATATAGAAAAGATTGTTTTTAATACTTCTAGTCTTTACCTATTTTAAATACTGTCCTGGACTTTCTGGTCTCAGATTTATTACATTCTTTTTATTCCCTCATCAATTATCAGCACTGCCTACCTCCTAACCCAAGTTCATTGCTATCAGCATCTTCCATTTTCTATATACAGCTTGTTTGCTTTTTTAATAGATGTCGTCACCACTTCCCCACAAACCCAGGTTGGTTTCCTAACTAAGGCAACCTTCTCTTTTGATTGGGTATCTACTAAAATGTTGCTAAACAATCACTGATCATCATTCATCATTTTTCTGCTTAAAGTCCCTCAACTGATTGAGTTAACATTTGTTTTCAGTTTTGTAATATGCCTTTGAAAGCTCCAAGTGTACATATTACAGGACTGTATTTATGCAGTATGTGCACAATGGTAAGTCGCAATCTCTAAAATGAAAGCTCCTGCTAAATTTTTATTCTGTGACAGACATCCACTTGCCAAATAAAGTGGAACCTACTGCAGAATTTCCCTTAGGGTAGATACAACACTTTAACAGATCTGTAATATTTAGGATATTTTGATACTGCATCCCTAGACCTTCAGCAGATAACACTCAAATCAAGGTCACTGTTAACCCCCGCCCCATGTAGTAGGCATACATGTTAAGAAAGCTGAAGTGGCCCTAAGCAGTCCTCTGAGGGCTGTAGCAGACACCATCTAATACCTCATCTTGTACTTACATTTTAGGACAATTATTCATAAATCATACCCAAGTTCTCAGTAACTTGGAAAAAAGTAATGCCACTTTTGTCATAGAGCACTGTCTACTTCCCCTCCTTTTTACCTACACTGCCCTTCCTAACTAGGTTATAACTATTGTTTCTACTATACCAGTCCTGGAAATCAACCCACCAGATTTCAGTAATACTAGGTAGATTGCTCATAAACAAGAGATTCCAGTTGTTTTTTACCCAGACTCTTAGACTTGGTAAAAAGCAGGTGAAGGGACATATGTGGTCTGGGGCAAAGGGGTTATCTTGCAGTAGTGGCAACAGTGAGGGAAGTGGCTGCAGACCAGGGAGTTGCCTGCTGTGGCAAAACCATGCAAGTGGTAGCAGGCCAGGCAATCACGGGTTGGGCTGCACAGCCCTCCCTTGCACCTCTACCATCATTGGCCATGTCAACCAGGCCCATAATGTCCTGGATTTTGTGGCAAACAATGCCCACTGCTAGCCACTTCCCCATCTTCTGGAGAAGTTTAATACCCACAACTCCAGTAGTCTGCTGCCTAGAAGACAGGGTTCTCCCAAACTCAGAGCATAAAGTATCTTCTCCCCCACAGAATGTTGAACAATGTCCCAGATGACTAAAACCCTGCGTCTTAGATTTCTTATGTAGTCAGGGGTATAGTTCTAGATCTCCCTCTTCCATCACTTGCAAAATGAGAAATAACTTTTAAGACACATTTAGATATTATGCTCCTTTAGCACTCTTCCAAGTTCCCTAACACAACCTATAATCTGAGAGGGATATCTTGTAAAGCAATGTCTTTAATGCTAATAAGCTTCATTAACAGAAGATCCTCATTTATCAACTTGCATACAGTAATATAGCTAAGAAGGGACTACCAGCCCTGGGTGCTGAACTGGGATCGGGAGGGAGGAATCAAACATAACAACTGATGCATTGCTGACTTAGCCTGGCTGCTACCAGCAGCAGACACCAATGCTGACCCATGAACCACTGCTGCCATCCAGGGCAAAGTGCCCAGGTACATCACTGGCTGCAAAACCTAGCCAGTCTTAGAGTTAGCTATATGTCCTGTATTGGTTGTAGGAAGTCAGCACATTATTCTGCTGTTCCCTGCAGAATTTTTTTTCCATTCTTCTTAGTATAGAAAGATCATCTGTCTTCCTTGGACAACTAAAGATCTTTGGAGCATGCTTAGATGTTCTTAGAAGTTGGGTTAAAAAGTCAACTACCTGTGAATCTCCCAGACCTCTATATTTCATTCATCCAGATTCAGAGATCTTTCAAATTTCCTCCCCAGTAAAGACTTACTATCAATTGGGAGCTTCTAAAACATATACAATTGTTAGTGGTCTGCTTCTCAAGTGATCACAACCTACCCATCCTCATTTGCCTCCAACTGTAGAGAATACAACATCTGTTGATTAGTTGTAAGCTGGCAAATTTCCTCCTTAGTTTCTCTGAGTCCAAGGAATTCCTCGCGAGTCTTGGGAGTCATGCTTCCTGAATATAACCATCTGAGAACACCTTCATTTTTCTGATTCTTTACAGAGTTGGTACTTGTCCTTTCAACTGAATCTTTTCTAGGAGTACAGCTACTAACTTACACTTGATACTTATAGGCAGGAAAGTAAACAGTACATGGCCAGTAGTACAACAGCAGCTATCAAGTGAAGGGCATAGAGCTGCACCTAAAATAAAGCCTCTCTCAAGCCTCTAAGCTCCCTCCAAAATGATCTAATTCACTGCTTATGAGCTCACACACAACTGACCTTACCTTGGGCCTTGTGGCTCAGCTCTACCTTCTCATGAACAGGAAAAGAAACAACCTCTCAGGAGTTTCAAATGGCAAGGGTGGATCAGACACCCAAGGACTGCAGCCACTTAGGAATGAGCCACAGCTACACCCCCTTAAACTATTCTTACTGCACCTGTTCACAGCTCACAAATTCATCAAGCAATTGGCTTTTATCCTAAATTCTAGGCTCCTGAGGGAACCAGCAACAAAATCAAAACAGAGTGGGCTTGTTTCATTACGCTGTAGACTAAGCTAATTGCTCTATTGCTGCTGTTTATTTTGGGGCTGAAATGTTAAATTGTGTTTGATTGATAGATTGTAAAGCACAAATGCAAGGCATTAGGAAGTTTGTCCAGTGTTTCCTCTCTAACATTTTTCTTGTCACAAACAAAAAATGAGTCTTTAAGTTTCTGAGTTGCTCCTAAACTGTGTTGGTATTATTTGAAAAGTCAGCAGGTTTGACGGGGGAGGGAAAGAGACTGACATTTAATTAATTCTTACATGGCACACTTTTCTAGGACAGGGGGTGAGAATAGAGGGTGGGGGGGAAGTCTTAAAACACATGGGATATACTAAATATCCTGCTAATTTCCAATATACATGACAATAAAATGCTTTAGAATATAAGAAATCTGAGTTTCTTTGGGAATGCAAAAAGAAAGTTTAAAGAGGCTGAAGATGCATGATCTATCTATCCAACATCAATATTACAGGAATAGTTTTAATAGCCTTCTTTAGAATATGGACAATAGTCTTATAAGATGTAATATAGGTGACATTTTCCAAGTCAGCCAAAATAAAGGATGCTTCTAGTTAATAGAATACAAAATACAGAAGATGCTTTCACAAGCCATTCCAGGCAATCAGTACCTCACTATGAGATCTGGTCAGTTCAAGTACCTTCCTGTTATTTTCACACACCTAACAT